TATTTCAAATAAAGTTTGCCATTAATTTCACTACAAAATCGCAGGAAACTATTTGCAAATACTAAAGGAAATGCTTAGATTCACGCACATAATCTACTTATGTGTATGTGCATAAACTATGTGTGTGCACATGTGTATTAGTGCGCATAAATTTCTTCTATTTGCTTTCAATTGCCAAGGTAATTATTTATGCAAAATATATAGAAATTACCAGCGAGATAATTGAGTTAATGCAAAGTGCCGGTTAAAGCAGCTGCCAAAGTGAATACCAAATGAGTAATTTCGTAATTTGCATGCAAGTGAAATGCAAACCTGTATGCGTGTAGATATGTATATATAAATACTAAATAGCTGTAAATGAGTATATGCTGTTAGCTAAATATGCCAATACTCTAATTTATATGCTTAGAAATAAATAAGCAACTTTGGCAGAAGCTGCTGCAAGACTGATAAGGGAAGGCAAATATAATATTTATATGTATGTATATATTTGTGTGTATGCGTGTGCGCTAATACTTGTAATGTGAGGCAGCAAACAAAGTTGAAAATTTACACTTCAAGGCAATTAATAATGTTGCATTAAGATATGAATGCAATGCACTCACACATATACAGTCAAATTCTTGTATTTGCATGTGTTTGTAGTCCTCCGAACAGCTTTCAAATCAGCCTAAAGTGTCTTGTAATACTACACCTACTCAATGCGTGTTGCACATGCCCCACAATTACCGAGCATAATTAAGTTTATCGATAGCGTTACATTTCGCTGCGTTGCATTTACTTATGTATTTACTCATTTTACAAGACAAAATGACAAATTATCATACCCACCTTACAATGCCGCCCATTTCGGAAAGTCCACATTTACCCCCAAATGATTTTAGCTGATTTACTACAAATGTTGCAAGGTGGTTGTGTTTATATGCATACCGTGATCATTACACTTACAGTAAATTCCTTGCAGGAAATCGCAAAAAGTCAAGCTATCATAACCTAACTTTGTGTCTAGAGTTTTTTGTTTTATATCCTATCAAAAGTAAGCGTTAACAGGAAGAAAAATATTTTGTTTTACCACGTTGAAAGCAGTGAGCTGGGTGATCCGTAGTATCATAGATAATCAGCTGACCGATCATATGATTGGTAAACATATATAAAATATTTTTATTAGGAAAAAGATCGATTTAGTTTTGGCTTAAATTATGCTTTAGTTTTCTTAAAACATAATTCAATCGGTGAGTAGTTAAAAAAAACCGAAGATTGATCAAGAAGGCATCCAAATTAAGGCTAGTTTTCTAGAAAGATTAAAACTTGATTTCTTTCTTCTTGATCTCGGAGCGAATTGTCAAAGCTAGGCCTCTTCTGCCACCTGTTGCCTGCCTTTACCCGGTAACTGAACCAAATATTTCACTTACCGCTAGCAATTATAGAGCTGTAACTTTTGGTTCCAAATTTCCCACAGGGTTACCACAAAACCACCTACCCATATATAATATATATTTATACATCGCTGTCATGTGGCAACTTTGTTAATTTATAAACATAATTGCGTATATTATTATTTGCTAAAGCGTTTCATGTTGCACTCTCATGCCACAAGCGTGTAAAAGCCGGCGTATACATTATAATGATGGCATCTTATTCCTTGTCATATTTGCTTATTTGAGCAACGTATAAGTATACGGTATTGATACGCTCAACCGGACATGGCGATTCATTAATCATCACTTGTCACTGTAGGCGCCTCGATAAATCGCCAATAAACAATGTATGCACAAGCGGGTTGATAACATCGATTTAAAGTGGAGGGGCAACGCGACTGATGAGAGGAGAAAATCTGCTTTTTATACACATATACCAGTGGTGTTGGACATGATGCTTTTAAGAACCTCGTAGACCCAAAAACTTTAGATGGCATGTCTTCTCTAGAACTGACCATTTTAACAAATGTCGAAACCTCGAAGTATTGGCAATTTTTTGTATCTATTTTGAAAACGAACAGTCTCGAAACAGTAAAAAAATTCTTCAACTTGATTAAAAATGTGTTCTATAATGCCTTAAAGTGATTACCGTTTCCTTCAACATGCAGTTTAATGATATCGACTTCTCAACCAGTTTATCGACAACGAGAAATGATAGAAACCATTGTATAATTAAAGTCACTAACTGAGAGAGAGTAATGGTCGAGTATTTTTCACGCCAGCGCTCACATTAGCAGACATAATCACCTTATTTTTTTTACTTCATCTTTGATCAAAAGGCTTTAAGCATATCCAACTGAGAGAGACCAACTCTTTAAATATTGAGAGGTTATAGTCCTCGTGATTATCATACTTTATTGATTGTCGACACTTGGGGAATAAATTATTTGAGAATAGTTAATTTCGGTCGACCAAATGGTGTAACTGTGTTGGGTGAATGAACGTTGACTACCTATGTGGAGAAATACATATGTGGTCTATATGGGACTTATGCGCCCTTATATCATTTTGGACGAGACAACCTCTCAAACCTCTGATTAGCTATAAAATTACATCGCCTCCGTAACTTTTACATATCTCTTAAGCATATTCACATATTTACACAGCTTATACTCCTGCCTTAAGGATGATCCTAACATGCTGAGCATTATTAGCATTTAAGCTACTGGCGCTTTATGAGCAGCAGAGAGAACAAAAGGCGCACAAAACAATGACAATGCCAAAAAATACAAAAACTATGCTATAATAATATGTTATGTAAAAAACGAATGACGGCAAAAATCTCACGTAGCAAAAGACTTGCAAATTTATTTGTTTGCAAAACAAATTTTCCGCACGGTAAATTTTTATTGACAATTAAATTTAGCAGACAAACCACAGTAAAAATGAAATGCAAACAAGCAGAGAAATGCAAATATATAAATATATATAAATATGTATATATAAGTGCTACTATCTCGCATATTGCAATATAAATATCTGCAAGTATGTGTGCGATTGCTTACTGGCTTAGAAGGATACATAAGCAGCTGACAAAACCTGGGTGGCTGTTGATAGATGAACTATAAAAGTCGGGTAAGGAGTAGCTACTATAAAATAACGAAGCAGAAAAAATAAATTTGTGGAAAAAAATATGCTGCGAGATATTATGGAAACCGCAAGTGAGACACACACATATATAAACATACATATGTATGTAGCAAATGCAGAAAAATGCAAATTTGAAAAACATAAAAAAACCGAAATTAAAACAGCACATTAAAAAGCCACAAACATATGAGCTATGCAGGCTTCAAATGCCGCAGGACTCGCAAAAGGATGCATAAATCTGTACAACAACTACAAACTGAACACGGAAGCACCATCTTAAGGGTGCAACGGGCGCTGCGAAAAACTCAAACGCTTAGCTGCACTTGCGGAGCGCTCGCATAATAAAAGAAATAGCAATAACAAAAAATAAATATATAAATATTTTAATATTAATAATAAAACCGCATTTGACGTTTCCTCCTTGGCTATTAAAAAAATTTGAAAAATTGCCAAAATACTGAGCAATCAAAAAAAGGCACATAAATTACGCCGACAGCTATAAAAACATCTTGCCTTGTGTGGATTTGTGTGTGTGTGTACATTTGTTTATATGCTAAGAAATCAAATTCGAGAATTTATTCGACTGACAGTTTCGCCGAAGGATATTTATGTTGCACATACACACACACACATAGCTACAGCAGAACATATTTCTGTAGCCTTTGCCTTTTTAATTCTTTTTTATTTTTTTCAAGTGCGCGTGCTCATTTGAGTGTAAAATATGCTAATTCTTGTTTTGATTTCCACTCAAAGAAATTAATTTCTTAAGAAATCTATGCAGGCCATTAAATATTTGAAAATTTCTGGCTTGATCAGGCATTTTTTGCATTTTGTAAGTAAAGGGTTAGTGCCAGATACAATTTTACACTTCATAAGATATTTTTTATATTTCACCAAAACCATATTTTGCAGCATGAGTTGAAATTCGAAAATTTTTGATATCCATTTATGGAAAGTCTAAAAATTGAACCAAAGATGAAAGCAAACTAAGCTGGATTATGATTCTTTCTTAATTCTCTTAACTTCATTGATCCATTAGAGTTTTATTTTCTCCCAATATGACCCTAATAAGTTTAATATTTAAGCTAAACAAAAGGGTCGTTGACCTCAGAAAGGATTGTTGACCGACGGTCCCGCTGTCTAATTGGGTTAACCAGACACCGTTAAGATTAAACTAAAATTGATGTATATTCGTTTTAACTATTTTATTTAACTTGAAACAGATCAAACCATCAAAACAAATCAAAACCATGCATATGTTACTGAAAACTCCTCAAATTCTAACAAATTCCATAGAAAAAGTAGATTCGGTAATTGGCTCATTGAATATGGAATTCATCACTTAGTGGTCTTCTCATATAATTTATTTTTTAATTGTACACAAATTGTTTTATATTTCTTTTTTTATTACCTTTATGAAGATTTCCTTGTACTCATTTACAACAGTAGCCATCCATCTTTTGCCACAAACAGTTACATTGATTGTGATTAAGTGCATGAAATTAGAAAAATCTTGATAAAAATTAAACATACATCAAATGAGAAATGCCTTAACCACAAACTGACCAACGTATTACGAAATATACAAAAAAACATGTTGAAGAAAAAAAGGAAGAAGCCAGCGAAAAAATAGGCGTCAACAAAGGCAGTGGCATTTAAACAATCATTCAAGCAACTAAACAACAAAAATGATGGTCAATTGCGGCAAACTGATGCTTAGCAGTGATTAAAATATGTTACCGAAGTGAGGTGAAGATAAATGTGCCGAGAAAAATGCCACATGAGTGTAGCTGATAGATAGCGCGACCAGAGGTTATAAACTTTGAGGCGGCGATCAATCTCGCTACAAATTAGATGCAACAAGCAAGTGTGGGCTTGAGTAGAGAAACAAATAGTTCAAATGCCAACACGTACAAACAGAGTAGACAAAGAAATATATGTATATATAAAACATAGGAAAATCTAAGAAGTTCAAAAAATCAAAAGAAATCAGTTATCGGCTTTGCTTTTACATGAAAGCCAATGCTGAACATAACTTTTATTGCGCCCCGAAATCGCGTAAAAAGCTACAGCAGTCAGAGAAAAGACACCAAAAATGTTTAACAATTACAACAAATGAGCTGGAATTCCAATGAAAAGCAGCAGTGAATGAAACTGCAGTGAATTTTACAACTTCAAAACTTCGGTGCAGCAATTGCCCGCGAGACAAGTGACCACAGCCAATAAATTACTCAATTCAACGCCACTCACAAACGGCTGACGGGCCACTTTTATTGCCGCAAGTCAGATCTTACGATATACAAATATATATAAAAATTCATAGTTATATCTTTATAGCACCTTTTTCTCAACGAAATATATTTGTGTGTGTAGTTGAACTGAAGATGGATGAGGCTGAGGATTGACTACTTCATCCCAGCCAAGCGTTGGCAGTTGTTGGCCAAAAGGGTTAACAAACAAACAATAAAAGCAAACATACAACTAACAAATGTCCAATGTAGATCAAATGTATGATCAGTTGATGATCACTTTAACGATCAGTAGTTGGAAGGCAAAAAAAAACAAAAAAAAAAAGCATTGTTGTTTCTCAAATAGCCTACTCTTTGGCTTTGTGGCTTATCGCTTTTTCTGTAATTTCATTTCTAATGGCAGTTAAGTGTATGGCATTTATTTATTAATGTTTACATCTGCATGTATAGCGCTTTGTGCGTACTTTTATGCTCGTTAATAATGAGAATTTAAAATGCTATAAAATTAATTTTTTGAAAACATTTTCTTTGCCATTTAAAATTCATTATGAATTTTATCTGGTATTTGTGATGGTTGATCTACTTAGCTATTTGTATGATTCCAAGAAGGTGTGGTATATTTAGCGCTAATTTTTTTAAGCTTTATTGCGTTTATTACGCTTCTTTTGTAGGTACAAGCTGCGTACTTTTGTTGTAGACAGTATTGCAAGTGGTTAATAGTTTGGAAGAAATAGTTTTTTTCAGAAATGTTTAAAGTGTGAGGGTTGGAGTAGCACAATTTACAAACAAGGAATGACTGGAATGAATGAGTAGAAATAATTCGCATCCAAGCTATCTGGGGCTCTTCTTCAAGCGCGACATAATATGATCTGTGAAGTTTGGAGTTTACTTTTCTATGAGTATATTCACAGGTATGGAAAAAGCAGTAAAGCTGTGTCTAAATAAGGTGCGATCGTCAGTGCTTATGCTTGTCACCAAAGAAGTTTTTATTTGGTTTGATGGCGTGTGACTAGCGATTGAAGAAAGAAACACTTTTTTGAAGACAATTTAAAATACATTTGAAGTTGAGCAGTCTGTAGCATCTTTCATGCTTACTTTTAGCGACTATACGACAGCAAAGGCGTCTACACATTGCTTGATAATATTAGGTCTTCGAAATTCCTACCTAAATTCCTTTTTTTTAATCAACTACCTTCGAAATATATTCCCAAAATGTTACTGAATTCTCAACATAAAATATCAATTTACATTTTGAAGGGTACAACAGTAGTAATAAACGATATACATAAAGTATATTTTTAATGATAAATTCTTGAAATATTTCACAAATATTTTAAAGTGAATGAGAATATGAGTACGTAGGGTCTGAAGCACATACGTACATTAATGTAATTTAAAGGTTAATGTGAAAACAAAACGGGCGCTTGAAAGCTATCAAATATCAATTTAAGCAAAATTAGTTGTCATAAAATGAGCATAAGCGCCAGATTTTCGGAAAAACGTAAAAGAGACCATGAAACCACAAGAAAACGGACTCATTGAAAAGACAAAAAGAGAAAAAGTGGCAACTGACTAACAAGCATTTTTTATAATAACTAGAAATGTACAAAAAAAAAATTAGAAAAATATCGAAACGAGCCTTTAAAGACCAGCATCTTCCAAAAAGAAACTAGTTAATTAAAGTCATTAAACGAGTGCACGTACAACGGACATCATAACAACGCCATTTGGACACAATAATAATAAAACTGGCATCATCAAAGAAAAACAAAAAATATCTGTTAAACAAAAAATCATAGAATAAAGCAGAAGAGACGCATAAAACCAATGAAAAATACGTGGAATAATAATAATTGCAGTGGCCACCAAGGCAACGAGCAATCATATACATATGCAAACAGATGCAGCCACATATCAGCAACAACAAAAAATAGTGCCACCAAAGATTTGAGTTTGCTGCAACGCAGAACGCTCTGGGTGTCATAAAAATGCATTACGGGGCGTTGAGACTGCGTTAAGCGGCAAGGCTTTAATAGCAACACCAACACATATGCAACATGTTGCTGGCAGCAAAAAAAATAAAGTGATGTCAGTAGAGACGCGCTGCTGATGACGATGAAAAACCGCAGTGATAAGTCACTTTAATTGGCTACAAGTGCGAGCGTGCATTTTTATGGTTAAATCATAAAAGAAGGAAAAATTGTTCATGCAACAATAAAAAATTAAAAATAAAATAAAACTGAAAATACTAAAATTATAAAACAAACGTAATAAGCACAAAAACATATCTGTATGTGTGTAAGTGGTATTAGGTCGTTAAAATCATGGTGGCTTCTGCGAAAAAAAGCGAAACGATTTGACTGAAAATGTTAGCAATTTAGACATTAGTAGTTTGCTAATACTCGTTTAGACAGTTTTATAAACACATGAGTACGCACATAACCCTAAAATAACGAGAAAATATCTGTTCTATAAATTAATTAAAATTAGCCTAGTAGAGTTCATACTTCAAAAAACACCGAAGGGAGTTGAAAATCAAGCCAACTGGTCAAATTATCGCACTGCTGAGCTTAGTGAATTTTCTGAGTTTAACACAATGATATATTTAATATTTATTTCGGCGGGTCCTTCTAAAAAAACAAAAATAATTCAAACGCTACATTTCAATTTCAGCTCTAATCTATGTTAAATGAAGGTAAAATCATAGAAAGTTTGCAGAAGCTCCAATCGAGCGATGGTTTCAAATTATAGGTACGAGTATAGAGACAGAAAAGCCTTGATGATGAAAAGGTTGGATATGTCTATTTGTTTTCCATAATATTTGCTACTTATTGGGAAACTTATGTAAGATACAATGAGCTTCCGATAAAACGAAGTTTTTAAGTTACGTAGAATAATCTTATTTGTAACAAGTAAAAAGAGATGCAAATAATACGGAGAATATAGATGAAAATGCAAAGTTGCACTCATTTATTTATTTCATTCCGGCTGTTGATGTTAAAAGTTTAGTTAAATTTTTTAATAAGTCTTTATAAAAAAATAAAACCATTTATTGAAAATAGACCTAGTATTTCTCATTAAGCTCATTTTTTATTAATTAACAAATTTGACAACGTAACAGAAATAGTTGCTACAGACTTCCTCTTCCCAATGATAATACGAAACATTAGTTATTGAAGTACTTACTTACGACTAGTTCCTGTATAGAAACACAGAATCTAAGAAAATGAAAAATAAATACTTATGTAACTGGGCAGTTACCTGGTAATTGAAAACTTGAAGCTTAGGTTTTTACAAATACTCGTAATGTACGAAATTCCAAATTGTATCAGCCATAAATTAATTCAACCCTTTCGAAGTCAGCTGGAAGTATTATGAATATCTAACAATTAGCATACGAGTTCATTTCAAATATAGTAGGATGTGTTTACCTCATATTGATTGCAGGACAACTGTTGCCTACATAGCAACGACACACTCAGGCAAGTATGTGAAGAAAACTGTAATAGTAATTTTTATTAGTGATGATCTTTAAAGCAAGAATGTTCATATATCTGATAAAATTAGGTTAAGTGGTTCCAGAAAAGTACACACAATCAAACCACCAAGATAAATAAAGTGAGATCAACGATTCACCAGAATTTGTAAGGGGTTAAAAGAATAGCAAATTAATTTTGTCTGTCGTTCAATGCCGGAATTGTATCAAGGTATATGTTGGAAACAAGTCAGAATAGATATACATCAAGAATACATATAAATTGCAGCCGATTTGGATTCAGAGATTCAGCTAAACCTACTCCAGGCTTAACAGAACACAGCGAATTTTGTCGATGTTATCCACTCATTTTCCTGGCTCAGAGTAGATGGGAAGGATTCCTTTTAACTACTTGATTTCAGCAAAGTTCATCTTGCCTCATTTGTTGAGATTTTAACTGGAAACTGTCCACTAGGCTACAAATTAAAAAATTTGTCAAAGTTGTCTGATGGTAGAAACATTTTGGCATCTTCTTCTGGACTGTCCATATAGTCTAAGAATAAAACTAAGAATAAACTTCTTGTTGTCATCTGTTTGGTGAACAGTAGAGTTTGGTTTTTCTAAATAGGCTCATAGTCCTACGCTGATACTTGGGTACATCGTTTCATATCTAGGGATTTCACTATCGAAAAGGACAGCTTTTTCCACTAACCAAGAGCTAACTTAAAAAATTCACAAAAGTTTCATGAGAAATCAAGACAGGTGTTCACTCTATAAATTTTCACTACCATTTGGTGAAATTTACAGACTAAAATATATTTTAATTAAGGTCTGCTGGGAAATAGAAAAAACGATATCTAACATAACCTTACTTTTGTAAATTAGCAGAAGCATTCTGCTTATATACTTCTTTAGCCCAAAGGTGGAAATATTAAAGAAAATAAACCAATAACATATTTAAAAATAACGGTAGCATGTGATTACGCTTACAATGCGAACTTTCTCTACGTATGTATTTACCGTTGTACATTTGGACACTTGATTGAACAAAGAGCAAGTGAAGTGACATGTGGCACGCGATTAAAAAGATAACAAAAAGTTTTGAGGCACTTTTCTCTATTTTTTTAATACTAAGATCAGAAATGTACAGTACTTTTACATAATTTCGAGAATCATTTCAAGATTTCACTCAAAATGCAATTAAAACTTAGAGTATACAAGTACTTAGTAGATACATCAAGAAATGAAGATGAAATCGTAAAACCAAATAAATAATCAAAAAACCAAGTAAACGCAGTGTAATATAATGGAAGTAGGGAGGAGGGGTGAGAGGAGCGAAAAAACGCAGTTGCTGTGTACGAGAAATAAATGATAACAATCAGCGAGGCAGTCAAGCAATGGAGCAACAGCTGGGGGCCTCCTACTGATGCTGCTACTTTTATTATTTGTTTTTGTTGCAGCTACTGAAGCTGCTGCTACCGAAAGCACATCTGGCTGCTTGAAGCTGATAGCATACGCTGACAATGATGATGATGTTGCACATGTTGTGACGCGGCAATTTGAAGTTTTATTTACATTTTCATAATTGCACTTGTGGCACGAGACAAGCCAAAGCACAAAATCATCCTCAACGACATAATGAAACCGTAATAATAGTGAATATATAGAAAACAACAACAACTACAATAATAACTAAACAAAATAAAAAAGAGCAAGGCGAAGCAAAGTGGCACATGGGCAGCTGGGCATACGCGTAGGTTGCCACAACAGCTACTATATATGAACATAAGCATCATTTGTGGCGGCTGCAGATCATCGTTATAAATTGTGGCAATGACAGTGGCAGTGGGCACGCGCAAGTGCAACCAACTAATGCAGCAGTTGCAAGTGTGATGCTTAGGCGGACAGAAGATGCGCAACATGGGCAACACATTGCATGATATGGCATTGCATGGCATGGATGACATGGCACGTGGGGCGAACAAATAGACAATAAACAAGCTAAAAACACTCATAACTGCCACCTATGCAACG